AGTGAGAGAGAAAGCATGAGAAGGGGAGGGTCAGAGGGAGAAGCAGACTCCCTGCTGAGCAGAGACCCTGATGCAGGACTCTATCCCAGGACTCCAGGTTCATGACTTGAGCGGAAGGCAGTCACTTAACCAACTGAGCCACTCAGGCACCCCTCAGTAACTGATTTCAAATCTCTTTTTTCCTTTCTGAGCATAGCTAAAGATTTGTCTTTTGATAGGAGTTCTTTTGAAAGAGTCACCTTTTGGTTTAATTGTTTTTTTCTGTCATTGTTCTATTCTTTATTTCATTTTTCCATCACAGTCTTGATTATTTCCATTCTTTCTCTCACTTTGGGTTTAGTTTTCTCTTCTCTTCTAGTTTAGTTTTTAAATATTTATAAGATTTAATTTTAATTCCAATATAGTTAACATAGTGTTATATTAGTTTCAAGTGTACAATATAGTGATTCAACAATTCTGTATATTACTCAGGGCTTGTCATGATAGCTTGTCATGCCCTTCATTTATTTTACTTACTTCCCCAACCCCATTCTAGTTTCCATAGTTGGAAAGTTAGGTTTCGAGTTGAGACTTTTATCCTTTTTAAAAATATAGTATTTATAGATATAGATTTCCCTCTAAGCAGTACTTTAGATACATCAAATAAGTCATGGTATGTTGTATATTTTTTTAAATTAACATATAATGTATTATTTGCCCCAGGGGTACAGGTCTGTGAATCATCAGGCCTACACAACACTCACAGCACTCACCGTAGCACATACCCTCCCCAATGTCCATAATCCAGCCACCCTATCCCTATCTCCCCCACCCCCCAGTAACCCTCAGTTTGTTTTGTGATATTAAGAGTTTCTTATGGTTTGTCTCCCTCTTGATCCCATTTGTTTCACTTTTTCCTTCCCTACCCTGCACAACTCTCTGCCCTGCCTCTCAAATTCCTCATTATCAGAGAGATCATATGATAATTGTCTTTCTCTGATTGGCTTATTTTGCTAAAAATAATACCCTCTGGTTCCATCCACATTGTTGCAAATGGCAAGATTTCTTTTTTTTTTTTTTAAGATTTTTTTATTTGTTTATTCGACAGAGAGAGATCACAAGTAGACAGAGAAGCAGGCAGAGAGAGAGAGGGAAGCAGACTCCCCGCTGAGCAGAGAGCCCGATGCGGGGCTCGATCCCAGGACCCTGAGATCATGACCTGAGCCGAAGGCAGTGGCTTAACCCACTGAGCCACCCAGGCGCCCCGCAAGATTTCTTTTGATGGCTGCATAGTGTTCCTGTGTGTGTGTGTGTGTGTGTGTGTGCGTGCGCGTGCATGTTTGTGTGTGTGTGTGTGTATATATGTATATTTGAATTTGAATTATTTTTTAATTTATTGTCAATATTATCTTATTATTAATATTGTTATAATATTCTATATAATTCTTGGTTGATGGTATATACATATATATATATATCTCACAGCTTCTTTACCCATTCATCTGTTGATGGACATCTAGGTTCTTTTCATAGTTTGGCTATTGTGGACATTACTGCTATAAACATCTTGAGTGCATGTGCCCCTTTGGTATTTGTTTTATTCATCTCAAAATGTTTTCTATTTTTCCTTTTGATTTCTTCTTTGACCTTTTGGTAATTGAGGAATGTGTTGTTTCATTTCCATATATTGGTGACATTTTAAAACTTCCTTCTTTTATTGATTTCTGATTTAATTCCATTATAATCATATTTTGTATGATTTCCATTCTTCTAATTCATTGAGACTTGTTTTACAATCTAAAATATGGTCTATCCTGGAGAATAATCTATGTGCACCTGAAAAGAACATGTGCTCTGTGTTATTGGGTGGAATGTTGTACAGACATCTATTAGGTCTAGTTGGTTAATAGTGTCATTCAATTTCTCCTATAGCCTTTCCCTTTTGCACAATTCCTGTAGATTATTGAATACGGGGTATTGAAGTTGCCAACTGTTGTTTTTAAAATTTTGTGTTTCCCCTGTCAAATCTGCCAGTTTTTGCTTCATGTATTTCAGGACTCTTGTTAGTGCATATTTGCTTACAATTGCTATGTATTCCTGGTGGACAGAACTTAAAAAAATTCATTATAAGAATGTCCTTCCTCGTGTCTAGTAACAACTTTTGTCATAATGTCTGTTTTGTCTGACGTTATTATAGTTGTTCCACCTCTCTTTTCATTTCTGTTTATATAGCATATATTTTTCCATACTTATGTTCAACCTATTTGTGTCTTTGAATCTAAGGTGTGTCTCTCGTATACAGCATTTAATTCGAATACATTTTAAAAATCCATTTTGCCAATCTCTGCCTTGTGATTAGTGTCCAATCCATATACATTGAATGTAGTTACAAATAAGATAGGGTTTACCTCTGTTATTTTTCAGTTTTCTATATGGTATGTCTTTGTTATTCTGTTTGTCCAGTATTGCTCTTGTTTATGTTACATGAATGTTTTCTTTCATGCCATTTTATTTAATTATTTTTCTTTTATACCACTTTACATTTTTATTTTTATTATTTTGAATTATTTTTTAATTTATTGTCAATATTATCTTATTATTAATATTGTTATAATATTCTATGTAATTCTTGGTTGATGGTATTTTTCTTTCAGTGCTCTGAAGATGTCATCCCACTTGCTGTCTTCTGGCCTTCATGGTTTCTGATGAGGAATTTTACTGAAGATTACCTTTTCAGGATGAATTCCTTGTTTTTGGCTGATTTCAAGACTTTTTCTTAGTCTTTGTCTTTTGGCATTTTGACCTATCAATTGACCTATCTTTAAGCTTGTGGATCATTTCTTCTGTCAAATCAAATATTCTGTTGAGCTCCTTGAGCGATATTATCGTTTTAATTATTATGTATTTTTCTGCTTTGGAATTTCTACTTGATTCTTTTTAATAGTTTCTATGTCTTTATTTATATTCCTTCTCATGAAACATTGCTCTCATATTTTCCTTTAGATCTTTTAGACATGTTTTCTTCAGTTCTTTGAGTATACTTACAATAGCTGATTTAAAGTCCCCCTCGCCCAGTAAGTTCAATACCTAGGCTTTCTTTGATGCAACTTTTATCCGCCCCCCAGTGTTTAGGTCACATCTTTCTGTTTCTTTGCATATCTCATTATTTCTTTTGTTAAAAACTGCATATTTAAAATAATTTCCTTAATTGTTTTAAACCAAGAAATCTCTCAGTCTTAGCTGAGAAGCTCTCTCTCTCTCTCTCTCTCTCTCTGTGTGTGTGTGTGTGTGTGTGTGTATGTTAGGGTAAGTCTTCAAAGCCTTGGAAGACAGGTTGAAACTCTACCTTAACTATCACTTACTACTGGGAGACAGCTTCAGGTCAACCAGAGGTGGGAGATTAGATTATTGATAGGTCTTTCTTTGGCAGGCACACATCTCTGCATATGCACGTGGTCTTCTTTATTTCCGGGTACTGCCATAGCTTCCAGTGGACTTCTTACTCCTCATTTTTTTCTATTAAGTTTTTTGGTAAATCTCCTGTTTTCCCCAACTGTTATCACCACTTTAGGCAAAGGCAATGTTAAATGCTATTGATTGTTCTGACAAACACCCCAGAAAAACTTTTCACGGTTACTGAGCTCTGAAGTCAATAAGGAGGGCCTTGCCATTGGACATTTCCAGGGAGCTGCCAGACAAATCAATAACAATGTTCTGGGAATGGGGCTTTTTTGGGGAACTCCAATCTCAGGTTTCCTCCTCTTGTGGTGTTAGGGTGGTGTTTCTCACAGGTACTGTGGTTGCAAGTTTATTTCATTTAAAAGCTGCTGTGGAGGGGTGCCTGGGTGGCTCAGTGGTTCATAAAAGCTGCTGTGGAGATGGATGGGAACAGGGCAAATTATAATCGCAAAACTCACTGTTCTTACCAAGAGTCAGCCATTTTTTCCTGCATGAATGCTCCCTGAGTTGTTGCAAATTTTTGAGTAATTTCCAGAGTTATGAAATGTTAATTTTGGCAAATTTTGCCAGTGTTCTCATATATATTTAATGGAGGAATAGATTTTTAGAGAGCCTTATGTTTCTATTCCAGAAGTAATCTCTTCAGGGTCCTCTAAAATCTTTATTATCTGAAGGGATATGAAGATCTCAAACTGGAAACAAAAATTTATAACTAAATTTGCACTTCAGAGTCTATAGCATTTGGTGCCCCCATATTACTAGTATGACCCGTGAAACCTCTTCAGTCTATGTATTTCCTTTATTAATCTCCTGGGTGATGCAAATCTAAAAGACATCAGGATGCATGTATCCCTTCAAATCAATACTTTTGTATCCTTTGGGTAAATTCCTAGTAGAGCAGCTGCTGGATCATAGGGTAGTTCCATTTTTAACTTTTAGAGGAAACTCCATACTGTTTTCCAGAATGGATGAGCCAGTTTGCATTCCTCCCAACAGTGTAAGAGTGTTCCCCTTTCTCTGCATCCTTGCCAATATCTGTTGTTTCCTGTGTTGTTAATTTTAGCCATTCTGACTGGTCTGAGGTACTATCTCATTGTGGTTTTGATTTGTATTTCCCTGATAACGAGTGATGTTGAGCATCTTTTCATGTGTCTGTTGGCCGTCTGGATGTCTTCTTTGGAAAAATATCTATTCATGTCTTCTGTCCGTTTTTTAACTAGATTTTTTGTTTTTTGGGTGTTGAGTTTTATAAGTTTTTATATGTTTTAGATACAAACCCTTTATCAGGTATGTCACTTGCAAACATCTCCCATTCCATAGGTTACCTTTTAGTTGTATTGATTGTTTCTTCTCTGTGCAGAAGTTTTTTATCTTGATGAAGTCCCAATAGTTTATTTTTTGCTTTTGTTTCTCTTTCCTCAGGAGACATATCTAGTAAGAAATTGCTACAGTGATGGCAAAGAGGTTACTGCCTGTGTTCTCCTCTAGGATTTTGATGTTTCCTGGAAGAGCGGGTTCTTAACAGAAGCTGTTCTATCCTGATCAGCCCTCCAGAAGCAAAATTACTCACTCTTTTCATTGTATTTTGGATGATTTAATGCTACTGAAATCCATCTGATAGTTACGCATGCACAGATCACTTCCGAGATAGTGCTGAAGAGTAAATATTGTAAAAGCATACTACCAGCCATCTGAATTAAAAAGAAAAGAAAAATTTCTCATATTAATTAGCCATTTAAAAATTACACAAGAACAATACTTAGTAAGAGGGAATAAATACCATTCATATCAGTCTCACATAACCATGATTACTTTTGTGTATTTTTCATAAGAACAGAATTTATGAAGTACTGACACATGTACCTTGCATTCTGTTAAGTACTTCTTCTAGCAACAACCCTACAAGTTGGATACTTTTATTTCTCTTCTACATGTTACAAGACTGAAAAGCAGAGAGCTTACCTTAGTACTGTGGGGTGGGTGGAATTCTTCAGGATTTGGTACTGAATGCCCATCTTTTCTCTCTTTATACTCTCTCTTTTGATAAGACTGATGGCATGACTTGTGTTTTATGCTTTTCCATTTAGTGCACATATAATTTTCATGTTCTATTTTCTTTTGACCCCCGTGTTGTAGGCATTATTACACGTATTAGGTGGAGCCAATCTCCCTCCTGTCCCACGTTTCTACCATGGTCTGAAGTAGGAGTTTCAGCTTTAAGAGTGGCTTCTAGTGTGTCTTAGTGCTCCTTACTTAAAATTCCCCATTTGAGAAGCAGAGATTTATCTACTTGGTGATTTTATCCTTTCTGGGTTCTTTTTTCAGAACTGTTTGTCTTTATGACCCCAGATTCTGAGAATTGTCTGGTTCTAGCACCTGGAGACCTATCATTTATTTGCAACTAGGTAGATAAGTTTAATTCATGGAAGGAGGTATCAGCAGGCTCATTTTGGTCAAAGATTTAAGACTTACTCTCCAACTATAATAATCACAATAAAGCTTATAATTTCATCTACATCTGCTTGATTTCTTGTATCTTATCTCAGTTGGTTTGGAACATGGAAGGAGAAAAGTGGGTGGCCATTCACTGGTCTGCCATATTAGTTTCCCAGGGCTGCTGTAATAAAGCATCACATCTGTGTGGCTTAACACAACTGAAATTTATTGTCTCACAGTTTTGGAGGGTAGAAGTCCAAAAAGAGTGCATTGGCCTTAGCAAGAGAATTCTCTTTCCAAAGCCTTTAGGGGAGGAATCTTCCTTGCCTCTTTCAGCTTCTGGTAGCCTCAAGTGTTCTTGGCTTGTAGTAGCATTACTATAACCTCTGCTGCTATGTTTATATGGCCATCTTCGGGCGCCTGGGTGGCTCAGTGGGTTTAAGCCTCTGCCTTTGGCTCAGGTCATGATCTCAGGGTCCTGGGATCGAGTCCTGCATTGGGCTCTCTGCTTGATGGGGAGCCTGCTTCCTCCTCTCTCTCTCTCTGCCTGCCTCTCTGCCTACTTGTGATCTCTGTCAAATAAATAACTAAAAATCTTTAAAAAAAAAAATAAAAATATATGGCCATCTTCCTTCCATGTCTATGTCCAGATTTCTTTCTTCTTATAAGGACACTTGTTATATTGGATCAATGGCCTACCCTACTCTTGCATGACCTCATCTGAACTAATTCCACCTGCAGAGACCCTGTTCTCAGATAATGTCACTTTCTGAGGTACTGTGGGTTAAGACATCTCTTTTTTGGGGACACAATTCAACCCATAACAGTCTGTCTCTGCCCTGCCTCTACATTCATGTCCCTCCCATGTACAAAATATATTCACCTGATCCTAATATCTACAAGAGTTTTGACCCATTTTGACATCAACTCCAATGACCTAAATGTCATCAGGTCAAAAAGCCCCAAATCTCATCATCTAAATTATCTTAATTAGCTATGGATGAGACTCATAGAATTGTTCATTTCAGGGCAAAATGTTTCTCCATCTGTGGACCTGTGAAACCAGGAAACGAGCTATCTACTTCTAAGACGTTAACTGATGGGACAGACACAGGATAGATATTTCCATTTCAAAAGGGAGATATAAGGAGGAAAAAAGGGTCATAGGCCCCAAGCAAGCTCAAAACCCAACAGGGCAACAGTTTAGATTTCTGTCCTCAGGGCCTGCTGAGTTCCCTCTCTTTAGGCTATTCTTATCTCAGCCTGTAGCATATGAAAGATGTAAATATTTGCGACATGAAAGGCGTTTCTTTTTCCTTTTTAATTTTTGGTTTTCTTTTTTATTTATTATCTTATTTAATTTTTAAAAAAGATTTATTTATTTACTTGAAAGAGAGAGCAAGTGAGAGAACATAAATGGAGGGGAAGGGTAGAGGGAGAAGGAGAAGCAGACTCCCCACTGAGCAGGGCCAAGCAAAGGCAGACACTTAGCAGACTGAGCCACCCAGGAACACTCCCTGGTTTTCTTTTTTTTTTGCTTTTGTAACTGAGGTACTAATTCTATACTTTATACCATTTTCCAGTGGTTTTTAATGCTTATTTATTTATTTATGCTCATTCATTTAGTCTGTGATTTCTTTTTACACATTGGGAAAGTGGAGCCCATTACTATTTTACTTGAAATAGAGAGCTCATTGATTTAATGTTACTTTATCAAGTTTCACCTTTTCCATATTGCCTGGTAAAATGATCTCCCAAAAATATTTTTTGCCTATACTAGGATTTACTTCTCAGCTCTCTGTACTTTGACCAATTTTTCTTTTCATGTATAAATATTATATCATTTTTCTTGAGAGCTTGTTTGGAGGTTCTAGCAGGGGAGCGCAGCTACTCGTATACCCTTGACCAAAGAACGGTCCTCTCCTCTATCGGGGAAGGTCGTCCTCTTCGACCAAGCGCGCAGCTTCGGGAGGGAAGCACATGGAGCGGTGAGGGAGGAAGGGGACACCCGCCTAGCCAGCCAGATCAGCCGAATCAACCCTGGCGATCAATGGGGTGGTAGATGTCACAGCCAGATTGCCCTCACATCCTATACCATTTTTCTTATAATGGCTTAATCACATATTTTCATATCTGGTTCAGCAAGTTGTTTGTCCCTCCCCAACCATTGTGTGGCTTCCAGACTTTCTTGGCACCTTTCCCACAATCTTTTCCCCATCCATACACATTTTACAGTAGTTTTATTGCATTCCCTCCCAAACCTTTGTTGGGATTCTATTATTTTTTAAGATTTTATTTATGTATTTGACAGGGAGAGACACAGTGAGAGAGGGAACACAAGCAGGGGGAGTGAGAGAGGGACAAACAGGCTGCCGCTGAGCAGAGAGCCTGATGTGGGGCTCGAACCCAGGACCCTGGGATCATGACCTGAGCCAAAGGCAGATGCTTAACAACTGAGCCACCCAGAATCCCTGTGTTGGGATTCTAAGTGGAATTGCATCACATTTATGTATTAATTTACAGAATCTTGCAATTTTATGATATGAATTTGCATTCAAGAATGTAGTTTCTCAACAGTATTCAGTTCTTTTTACAGTCCTCATTATGTTTTTATAGCTTTGCTATTATTTTGATTAGGCATTTATTGTTTTTCCTACTTTAGCATCTAAAGTGGTGATTTCTAGTACAAAGAAAATGTATTAGAAGCCTGGATGGCTCAGTTTGTTAAGCATCTAATTCTTGATTTCAGCTCAGGTCATGATCTCAGAGAAGTGAGATCAAGCCCCACTTTGGGCCCTGCACTGGGCATGGAGTCTGCTTAAGATTCTCTCTCTAACCCCCTCTCTCTAAAAAAAAAATGTATTAATTGTCTACATTTTTCTTTACCCAGTTACTTTCCTAAACTGTTTTGTTGCAGTGGTTTTTTAGCTGAGTCTTTGGAGTTTTCTAGGTATCCTATCACTTTATCTTCACATAATGATAGTTCTGATCTCTCTCTCTCTGGCTTCTGGTGTTTCTTTAGCTGGACTAAAAGTGATTTAAAATATTCCCATGGTAAAAATTTGGAGGAGACAAAGTTTGTCTTTATATTTCCATACCAAAGTTAATTGTCAAATTTGGCTGCCTTTTCCATACCTTGCCCACTGCAACATACATCACTTACCATAGTTTTTTCATTTATATCTAAAATTTGGATCCTGTTGTTACTAAACTTGGTACTTACATGTGTCCAAACATATTCGTTGGTGTCTGCATGATATGTGAAACAGGCAATACTTAGTATTATTATACCAAGTATAGAAAAGCAGACACTTAAGATGTTCATAACAAGGCTGTAAATAAGCTGTAAAAGAAAGAATACTGGTCATGGGCAGTATGAACAGGTTTTGATGAAGCAATTAGTCTGTTGTCTGCTCTAGAGCAATCAAGTTGGAAATTTTTTATCTGATTCTCTGGAATCTTACTGTGGTTGATATTGGGACTCCGTCTCAAATTTTTCTGGAACCCAACAGGAAAAAACCCTTTTTTTGGTTTATTCAACAAATAATTAAACAGTGCCTGCAACATGCTAAATGTTGTGCTAGGGGTAAACCCAGGCTTCTACTCAAGCATCTCACAATCAAATGGAGGAGACAAGATGACAGTTTCATTCAATAAAATTTCATAAATGTCATGTTATGAATTAGCTTCAGGTCCAGGATTTGCCAGTGTCATTCCTACCCCAGTAAGGTCACCTTACTACCAAATACCTTTCCATAGTTCCCAACTCCCTTCAAAATAGCATCCACTCTCTTCAGAACGGCACTGTGGAACTTGCATGACCTGTGAAGAGAAATTCTGCTCTTTTGAAAGGGGCTCCATGGGTTTTGTATGCATGTGTCAGAGGATAGTTATGTTTGAAAGAGGATTTTTTTTTGTTTGTTTTAAATAATGGGAGGAAGGAGGTGATTTGATGCCGGTCAACCAAAGAAAGAACTTAAGTGGGCATATTCATTTTTTTTTTTTTTTAAATTTTATTTTTTATAAACATATATTTTTATCCCCAGGGGTACAGGTCTGTGAATCGCCAGGTTTACACACTTCACAGCACTCATCATAGCACATACCCTCCCCAATGTCCATAATCCCACCCCCCCAACCCCCCTCCCCCCATTAACCCTCAGTTTGTTTTGTGAGATTAAGAGTCACTTATGGTTTGTCTCCCTCCCAATCCCATCTTGTTTCATTTACTCTTCTCCTACCCCCTTAAGCCCCCATGTTGCATCTCCTCTCCCTCATATCAGGGAGATCATATGATAGTTGTCTTTCTCCGATTGACTCACTTCGCTAAGCATGATACCCTCTAGTTCCATCCACGTCGTCGCAAATGGCAAGACTTCATTTCTTTTGATGGCTGCATAGTATTCCATTGTGTATATATACCACATCCTCTTTATCCATTCGTCTGTTGATGGACATCTAGGTTCTTTCCATACTTTGGCTATTGTAGACATTGCTGCTATAAACATTCGGGTGCACGTGCCCCTTCGGATCACTACGTTTGTATCTTTAGGGTAAATACCCAGCAGTGCAATTGCTGGGTCATAGGGTAGTTCTATTTTCAACATTTTGAGGAACCTCCATGCTGTTTTCCAGAGTGGTTGCACCAGCTTGCATTCCCACCAACAGTGTAGGAGGGTTCCCCTTTCTCCACATCCTCGCCAGCATCTGTCATTTCCTGACTTGTTAATTTTAGCCATTCTGACTGGTGTGAGGTGGTATCTCATTGTGGTTTTGATTTGTATTTCCCTGATGCCGAGTGATGTGGAGCACTTTTTCATGTGTCTGTTGGCCATCTGGATGTCTTCTTTGCAGAAATGTCTGTTCATGTCCTCTGCCCATTTCTTGATTGGATTATTTGTTCTTTGCGTGTTGAGTTTGCTAAGTTCTTTATAGATTTTGGACACTAGCCCTTTATCTGATATGTCATTTGCAAATATCTTCTCCCATTCTGTCAGTTGTCTTTTGGTTTTGTTAACTGTTTCCTTTGCTGTGCAAAAGCTTTTGATCTTGATAAAATCCCAATAGTTCATTTTTGCCCTTGCTTCCCTTGCCTTTGGCGATGTTCCTAGGAAGATGTTGCTGCGGTTGAGGTCGAAGAGGTTGCTGCCTGTGTTCTCCTCAAGGATTTTGATGGATTCCTTTCTCACATTGAGATCCTTCATCCATTTTGAGTCTATTTTCGTGTGTGGGGTAAGGAAATGATCCAATTTCATTTTTCTGCATGTGGCTGTCCAATTTTCCCAACTCCATTTGTTGAAGAGGCTGTCTTTTTTCCATTGGATATTCTTTCCTGCTTTGTCGAAGATGAGTTGACCATAGAGTTGAGGGTCTATTTCTGGGCTCTCTATTCTGTTCCATTGATCTATGTGTCTGTTTTTGTGCCAGTACCATGCTGTCTTGATGATGACAGCTTTGTAATAGAGCTTGAAGTCCGGAATTGTGATGCCACCAACTTTGGCTTTCTTTTTCAATATTGCTTTGGCTATTCGAGGTCTTTTCTGGTTCCATATACATTTTAGGATTATTTGTTCCATTTCTTTGAAAAAAATGGATGGTACTTTGATAGGAATTGCATTAAATGTGTAGATTGCTTTAGGTAGCATAGACATTTTCACAATATTTATTCTTCCAATCCAGGAGCATGGAACATTTTTCCATTTCTTTGTGTCTTCCTCAATTTCTTTCATGAGTACTTTATAGTTTTCTGTGTATAGATTCTTAGTCTCTTTGGTTAGATTTATTCCTAGGTATCTTATAGTTTTGGGTGCAATTGTAAATGGGATGGACTCCTTAATTTCTCTTTCTTCTGTCTTGTTGTTGGTGTAGAGAAATGCAACTGATTTCTGTGCATTGATTTTATATCCTGACACTTTACTGAATTCCTGTACAAGTTCTAGCAGTTTTGGAGTGGAGTCTTTTGGGTTTTCCACATATAGTATCATATCATCTGCGAAGAGTGATAGTTTGACTTCTTCTTTGCCAATTTGGATGCCTTTAATTTCCTTTTGTTGTCTGATTGCTGAGGCTAGGACTTCTAGTACTATGTTGAATAGCAGTGGTGATAACGGGCATCCCTGCCGTGTTCCCGACCTTAGCGGAAAAGCTCTCAGTTTTTCTCCATTGAGAATGATATTTGCGGTGGGTTTTTCATAGATGGCTTTGATAATATTGAGGTATGTGCCCTCTATCCCTACACTTTGAAGAGTTTTGATCAGGAAGGGATGCTGTACTTTGTCAAATGCTTTTTCAGCATCTATGGAGAGTATCATATGGTTCTTGTTCCTTCTTTTATTAATGTGTTGTATCACATTGATTGATTTGCGGATGTTGAACCAACCTTGCAGCCCTGGAATAAATCCCACTTGGTCGTGGTGAATAATCCTTTTAATGTACTGTTGGATCCTATTGGCTAGTATTTTGGCGAGAATTTTTGCATCTGTGTTCATCAAGGATATTGGTCTGTAGTTCTCTTTTTTGATGGGATCCTTGTCTGGTTTTGGGATCAAGGTGATGCTGGCCTCATAAAATGAGTTTGGAAGTTTTCCTTCCATTTCTATTTTTTGGAACAGTTTCAGGAGAATAGGAATTAGTTCTTCTTTAAATGTTTGGTAGAATTCCCCCGGGAAGCCATCTGGCCCTGGGCTTTTGTTTGTTTGGAGATTTTTGATGACTGTTTCAATCTCCTTACTGGTTATGGGTCTGTTCAGGCTATTTCTTCCTGGTTCAGTTGTGGTAGTTTATATGTCTCTAGGAATGCATCCATTTCTTCCAGATTGTCAAATTTGTTGGCGTAGAGTTGCTCATAGTATGTTCTTATAATTGCCTGTATTTCTTTGGTGTTCGTTGGGATCTCTCCTCTTTCATTCATGATTTTATTTATTTGGGTCCTTTCTCTTTTCTTTTTGATAAGTCTGGCCAGGGGTTTATCGATCTTATTAATTCTTTCAAAGAACCAGCTCCTAGTTTCGTTGATTTGTTCTATTGTTTTTTTGGTTTCTATTTCATTGATTTCTACTCTGATCTTTATGATTTCTCTTCTCCTGCTGGGTTTAGGCTTTCTTTCTTGTTCTTTCTCTAGCTCTTTTAGGTGTAGGGTTAGGTTGTGTACCTGAGACCTTTCTTGTTTCTTGAGAAAGGCTTGTACCGCTATATATTTTCCTCTCAGGACTGCCTTTGTCGTGTCCCACAGATTTTGAACCGTTGTGTTTTCATTATCATTTGTTTCCATGAATTTTTTCAACTCTTCTTTAATTTCCTGGTTGACCCATTCATTCTTTAGAAGGATGCTGTTTAGTCTCCATGTATTTGGGTTCTTTCCAACTTTCCTCTTGTGATTGAGTTCTAGCTTCAGAGCATTGTGGTCTGAAAATATGCAGGGAATGATTCCAATCTTTTGATAACGGTTGAGACCTGATTTAGGACCAAGAATATGATCTATTCTGGAGAATGTTCCATGTGCACTAGAGAAGAATGTGTATTCTGTTGCTTTGGGATGAAATGTTCTGAATATATCTGTGATGTCCATCTGGTCCAGTGTGTCATTTAAGGCCTTGATTTCCTTGTTGATCTTTTGCTTGGATGATCTGTCCATTTCAGTGAGGGGAGTGTTAAAGTCCCCTACGATTATTGTATTATTGTCGATGTGTTTCTTTGATTTTGTTATTAATTGGTTTATATAGTTGGCTGCTCCCATGTTAGGGGCATAGATATTTAAAATTGTTAGATCTTCTTGTTGGACAGTTCCTTTGAGTATGATATAGTGTCCTTCCTCATCTCTTATTATAGTCTTTGGCTTAAAATCTAATTGATCTGATATAAGGATTGCCACTCCTGCTTTTTTCTGATGTCCATTAGCATGGTAAATTCTTTTCCACCCCCTCACTTTAAATCTGGAGGTGTCTTCAGGTTTAAGATGAGTTTCTTGTAGGCAACATATAGATGGGTTTTGTTTTTTTATCCATTCTGATACCCTGTGTCTTTTGATTGGGGCATTTAGCCCATTAACATTCAGGGTAAGTATTGAGAGATATGAATTTAGTGCCATTGTATTGCCTGTAAGGTGACTGTTATTGTATATTGTCTCTGTTTCTTTCTGATCTACTACTTTTAGGGTCTCTCTTTGCTTAGAGGACCCCTTTCAATATTTCCTGTAGAGCTGGTTTGGTATTTGCAAATTCTTTCAGTTTTTGTTTGTCCTGGAAGCTTTTAATCTCTCCTTCTATTTTCAGTGATAGCCTAGCTGGATATAGTATTCTTGGCTGCATGTTTTTCTCGTTTAGTACTCTGAATATATCATGCCAG